TTATTTCACTATTATTTCATTTCAGGTTCATTTTGGTTAATATAATTGTTATTTTCAGCTATTCATTTTTAATTCTTCTTTTTTAGTTGTTTCAGGGATATAGTAGACAATGGCAGTCCGAACTAGTGAAATTCATCATGAAACATTAGCAGTCACTTTCAAACTAGACAATTATAAATGTGTATAGACGGTAGCGTTGAATTTTTCTTCCCTAAAAATCTGTGTGTCGAAGACCATACAACATACGTATTATCCTTTTTTGAGAGATGAATGCTCGACTGATGTTAATCCCTTCTCCCCACAAAAGCACATTGTAAGATATAAAAACCATCACATAGTAAATGTTCAACAAATGCTGTCCGGTAGACGGACAGAAAAGTGTCGAGAGATCTTAATTCTCTATGTGTCTAAACAGAACAGCAATTTATATCAGAATTTCCTCTCAACTAGAGGTATCAGGTATTTTATTGCGTGACACTTATGTCGTAGTGAAAACTTGCAAGAAAATTTCTTTCTCGATACCTGAGATATCTATAATGATATAAATCTCTAGTATAAACGTACCTTTAGCTACGCTATCCACAAAAACCTCATATCAGCGTTTTTTCAACCTTCCCAAGTGTATGATCATCGGCAGGATGCAATACATTTATTTGTTTAGTCTAAGTAAATTTTAACATGACCACAACGACGCTCGAAGGTCCGACAGTCATAAAGTAATTCTGCGCTTTTTCAACTGGAAAAATATTGACACCGAAGTAACGGGTGCTCGACCTCGATCTCAATGAATAAAATATTATTTTATGTTACTCTCACAATGGCCGTTATTACACTACTCCTCCCTTCGTAAAAGTTCTGGGCACACAGTGACATAACTTTTCAATCAAATAAAGCAAAAATATGATAACCAAAATAAAAATTCGTAATGTATCCTAATGCTAACAAAAATTCTGTCACTTTTTGGCGAACAAAGGTTTCGCGTCTGATCCGGGCACTGCACTCGTGAACACTCGCGTTTGTGCGTAATTCACTTCTGCAGTCAGCGAGGCTTCCTTGCCTGCTGTAACCTGATATGGTGTGGTGTGATGCGGAAAGTAACCTTTTTCACGAGTCCGGAAAGTCCCAGGACTTTCCGCAACTCTGCTACTCTGGAACGCTGCTACTACTAGACTCGAGAGTTGGCGAATATAAGCTTCGCAACCCTCATCAAATGGTGCTTACATTAATTTTCACATGATTCTCGCTAAAATTTTTTCCGCGCACTGGCGACAAATTCAGTCCATCGTACTGTGCCTTACTATGGCTTGGGCACCACAGCTCGCGATAACCGGTCCTCTATACTTGGCCCAATGCGTTGGCCACGGTTCATACAAGTTTCCGAAGAGCCCACTTGCTCTTGGGGATACTAACTTGGGGATGATCCTTACTGTCTCTGCAAAATAACTGTGGAGGTTCTCCAAATTTGGCAGTAAACAAGCAAGTCGTTGTTGTTGAATGATGCTGCTGACAAATAAGGAAAATTGCGAAACTCACGTCTGCCGAAATTATTTTTGTATAAGGGCAATTTGGCTACAAAAGCAGCAATGACATTTTTTGTTATAATCAAATTCAAGTCATCAACTTGAAGTTTGAGATTGACATCATTAAATAATTTATAAAGGTCTGTCAAGTACGCAATATCATTCTTTGAAGTGATGAGGTTGTCGTGCAATTCTTTGTCTTTGTTTTCCAAGAACTCTATTACAGAGTCAAATAGATTGTAAAATCGAGTCAGACAGTTACCTATTGAGATAACCAACGCACTTCTGTGTGAAATAGCAATCATTTGAAATCTCCATCATTAGCAACCAAAGCTGATTAAATAATTGTCATTCAAAGAGCTGTTTCGGATTTTACTGACTGCTTTGATATGTTGATGTGCTTTGATGTGATGTGTGATCTCTCCAAAGCTTTTGATTGTGTTTCACACGAACTTTTAATAGAAAAACTTACATTCTATGGCATCAGAGGCACGCCGTTGAACCTGTTCAAGTCTTACTTAGAAGGTAGACAACAGTTTGTCCATCTTAACAACAGTTCTGATTCTGAACTGAAAATCATAAAACATGGAGTACCGCAAGGTTCTGTTCTTGGACCCCTGTTGTTTATCATCTACATTAATTAACAGCTTATGATTACTTCAATCTCTTTTATTAGTTGCCTGCTTTTTCACCTTCTCGTTATTGCCTACCTTGTTGTCCATGGGCCTCTCTCTCCCTCATCATGATAGCCAGCATCGTATATTGGCAGGTTTACAACTTAGTTCTGGTCGTATAGTTAAATCCCTAGTAGTTAATACCCAGACAGCAAATAGTAGTTCTTGATATATTTTCTTATTTTCAATAAACCTCACGTACGACAACAACAATGCTTCATTGGTTGGTAAAGTGGAGTCATCTAACTGAATTTAGAAGTCTTCAGATGATTGCACAATGACTCTTCAATGTTTTCAGCCATCTTATCAATTCGTCTTTGCACGGTACTATTAGTCAAAGAAATTTTTTTGGATATCTGCCGCTGGTTTATGGAGCACAGTAGTAATTACTTCTTTTATTGCCGGTAAAATTAAATCCTTTCCAATAGTGTGAGCTTTACCTGTTTGAGCAATTAGCATGGAGATATTGTAGGAAGCTTGGAGTCCATCGTCGTCTTGCTCAGAAGACGCTGAAAAAAGTTTTGACACAGTTGGCTGAGCTGAGTGTTTTTTTCCAGTTCTTAACAATAAGTCACACTTTTATCTGAAAGCATTTTATTCAAATGGTCTTGTAGCCTTGAGGGTTTCATCGCTTCATACGGAAATGTTTTTGGACAAAGAAGGAACATAGGCGAAGATGGATTTGTGGGATTTTCAATAAATCCATATTTTATATATTCAGCGCTATACTGCCGTTTCTTCTTATTTGCTTCCGACGTAATTTTGTCTTCAAAATGCCGAAGTAAAGAATCGAGTATTAAAAACTTGCTAATGACAACACTCACAGTATTCACCACCACACGAACAGCACTTTACCTGGATAGTCGCTAACTAAATTCCCTTGTTTTTATAATATCGTCGAATGACATTACTGGCTCAGAAGGTCATCCTCTTTTCGTTCAGGTTTGGAGTCCAGCTCCCCTACCCTTTTGACTGAACATTACTGGCTGGATGGCGCGCGCGCTTTTATCTGAGGCAGCGGGCGGGCCTAGTACTTTCGAGAATGGAGATTAGAAACTTCTCGCTTCGCATTGAAGCTTAACGCCATCTATTGTACAGTTTGACAACTATCGGACAGGAAATAGTTACTGTCTAGTCCCCTAGATGACGTCACAGGAGAAAACGCGCGTTAAGCGTAAAGGAGCGGTAAAGTTTGTGTTGAAAGCAAAAACATTTTTAAATTGGCCATCGCCTCCCAATCTTCTCTGTGCCCTTCACTGCCCCCATATAGGCCTCCATCGCCCACAAGGGGGCGCTATCGCCCACTTTGAGAAATACTACTTATAGTTTGATTATTTTAATGGATATTTGAAGGGTTTTGATCATAAAAGCGGAGCCTGAGGTTCTAAGACCAATTTTTTCTCATAACCCTCATTTCGTTTTTCATTTCCTTGTTCAAACATGTGTATTGAAAAAAAACTTATACAGGGTGATTCAAAAGTACTTTGACAAACTTCAGGAGGTGATTCCTCACAATATTCTAATATGAATTGTCTAAATAAATAAATGTCCGGAAACGCTTCGTTTCCAAGGTACAGGATGTTGAAGTTTTATTTTTATTTTCGTTTTTTTCAAATAACTTTTGAAATACTGAACTTAATTAAACGAAACTTGGTAATAGGAGGTTTTTGAGGTGT